TACTCTCCTCCCTTCCCCCTTTTATTCTTTTAATTGATTTAGGAGATGTCAATCTATGCAGGTGATCAGAACCAGTCATGCTGTCTTCTCAATAGAGAGCTATTGGCTACTTGGCACTCGAGCTGTTCCTTCTAAATGCTTCCCCATGCCCTAAATCAGACACATGCCTTTGGTGTTTTTTGATTCTCTAACATCTGCCTATGTAACTATTGCTAGGTTAACCTAAGCTGCCTATAATAACACATATACAGCTACTGGCTATATTTTCTTTTCTCTTATCTTCATCACCATACATTATTTTCTGTATTACCCTATACTAAATACTACAGTTAACCTTGACTTTTGTAGTCCTAAACAGTGACTTTACAGCAGTTTAGTTTAAAACATTTCACAAAGCCTGATCTCACTCTTCCTACTTTTGTAGAGAAAACTTACACCTCGCAATGTGATAGCACCAGTCCAAATTGGGGAGAAGAGTTTTTATTACAGGAAAATTAAATACAGAGGAGCACTAGCCAGTCTTGGCTTTTTCCACTTACTTTTCAGCAACTGTTTCATTAGTTGGTGGCAGCATATAGTGCCCCTGCACTTGGCACTGGTGAGGCTGCACCTCGAATACCGTGTTCAGGTTTGGGTCCCTCAGTTCAAGACAGACATTGAGGGGCTAACAAGTGATAGGATGAGAGGAAATGGCCTCAAATTGCATCAAGGGATTCGAATGGATATTAGGAAAAATTTCTTTACTGAAAGAGTGGTCAAGCATTGGAAAAGGCTGCTCAGAGAGGTGGTGGAGTCCACATCCCTGAAGGTGTTCAAAAAACGTGTAGATGTGGCACTTCGGGACATGGTTTAGTAGGCATGGTGGTGTTGGGTTGAGGGTTGGACTTTATGATCTTGGAGGTCTTTTCCAACCTTAATGATTCTATGCTAACAATACACCAGTGACGCTATTTGTTCCACTTTAGGTGGCACGCTCACAGTTTTAGTGAAACAATCCCTATGCTGTTGCACATCATTTCCAACTGTGAAATTGGTGCCCTATTTTGGGAAGAGGTTTCTGCACACTCGCCAATACTCTAGTTAGCAGTAGTAGTCCAAAGACACATTACTGGGTTGCAAGTGGTATAAGCTGCTATGAAGGGGATGGAGCTGACAACCACGGTGGGATGCCCATTACCTTGGATCCAGTCACTCAGGTGGAATACAGCCAGACTGGACAACCACACCAATGGGCCTTAGGGCAGCCTTTAAGATGTCAGCTAACAGGGCTGGCAGTACAATCCGAACACTAGAATCAATAGATGCACCCATACTTTTTCATTTCCAAAGCTGTTAGTGACATTTAGGTGCAAAGAACCAACTGTTCCATTAAAAATTTCATAAGCCACAGGTTTACTGGGAATAAGATACTGCAGGTCCTTCTGGTTAGGCTAACAGCTGCAAAAGTCTAAACACTAACCTCTCCAGAGCTTAAGCAGGTATTTCCCAAATCTAGGGGAAACCTATCCTGACACACACTAACAATTGATCTGTGCCTTCTTCCTTTTCATTTCTGCAGTCAGTTAGCAGCAGAGAGCTGTGAGGTTGTGTCGCCAATCTGAAGGTCCATCTCTACATATTCCATCACACCCTACGCAGTTACTTAGCACTGGCTACTTCTGCCCCTTGCAGCGGGTGGTAGGTTGACATTGGCTGGATGCCAGGTGCCACCAAGCCACCCTGTCACTCCCCTCCTTAGCAGGACAGGATGGGGAGAAAATGAGATGGAAAAAAAAAAAGCCTTGTGGGTCAAGATAAAGGCAGTTTAATGAAATCAAAGGCCGTGCATGGAAGCAAAAAGAAAACAGATTTTCTTCTCTACTTCCCATCAGCTGGCGATGTCCAGCCACTTCCCGAGAAGCAGGGCTTCCGTACATGTAGCAGTTGCTTGTCATACGGTCTGGAATACCCCTTTAGTCAGTTTGGGTCAGCTGTCCTGGCTGTGCCCCCAAGGTCTTGCCCACCCCCATACCACCGGTGAGGGGGTTGAAATGTTGGACAGGCAGCCTCAGTGCTTTGCAAGCGCTGCTCAGCCGTAGCCAAAACATGGGTGCATTCTCAACACTGCTCTAGGTACTGATACAAAGCACAGCACCGTGAGGGCTGCTATGGGGAAGGATTAACTCCATCCCAGCCCAACCCAATACACAGCAAAACTTCGGATCTAGCTGCATATTATTATTTGCTCAAGACATAAGGATGCCTATGACTGAGTTGCTGCAGGACTCCCTCTGGTCAGCCACCTGCTGCATCAGTTGATAATTAACATCCCAGACCTATTCCAGAGCAATCTGACAAGGCAAACTGGGACAGCCACTGTGCAGAGGTCCAGAAGACAGCAAGGTCTTCCACACCTTCTCAGGGTCTTCGCCGCGAGTCTCCAGGTCTCCAGCTTCAACCACTGCAGTTTCAGCCATGAGCAGGGGAGATCTTTCCACTGGGTCAGGCAGCAAAAGAGTAAAATTCTCAGAAACCTCATTACTTCATGTCAGAAGCTGTTTCCTCAAGTACCTTGCAGCTCTTGGCTTTCTTCTCTAAGCAGAGAGACTCAACACAGTAACTGCAGAGATCCCTGTCACCGACTCGAAGGTTGTCACAAAGCTGAATTCTCCTTGACAGCGGGTACCGCTGATGGTAGAACCTATATAACCCCTGCGGGTCTGCGTGTCCCACAGGGATCCTCCAGTTTATCTGCTGCTCTTTGCTCTACCTACCACAGACAGGGACAGCAGTAGCCGTCACGCGCGGCTGCCAGTGACAAGGCTTGCACCTCAGCCCACACTTTGGTGCTTGAATCAGCCTGTTCTTTAGGAAGAAGGTGATCTACTTCAAAAACCTTGTAAAAAAATAATCTTAAGTGTTTCCATTCCTGGCAAGAATTACTGCAGACGCTGGGCGCCTCGGAGTCCCTCAAACCCAGCAATAGAAACTCCTTCTACCGAGAAGCTGAGGCAATCTGCTCCCTCTCATCTGCCAAGGTTGGTTTGGTTTTTTGCTTGTCTGCTCCCTCCAGAGGCCAAGCATGCAAGGGAATTTTGCTGATGATCTTCCTCAACCATAAATAAAATTCATTAACCTAGCCATAAAAGAGCAGGGCTGATTAAGGAATACAGATGCTAGTGACCACAGAAGGGACCCCTGCACCACCACAGCCTAGACGCACAAATAGGAGGCACTGGACTGACACTACCCACTTTTACAACAAGTGCCTGCAAAACATGGTAAGAGTACCTCAAAACAGAATTTACTCTTAGGCGGGTGATGCAGCAATAGGCCCCTGAACTGTTACCAGGTCTCTTTCAGCTTCTGATTAAGCTTTCTTCTTTTGAGCTGACAGCCTGGATATAAATAAAACTGCTGGGCAAGCATCCTCTCTGTCAGCAAACACATTGGAAAAAACATGAAGAAAAGCTAAGTCATATGACAGACAACACAGCGTCATCTATATATTTTAAAAAACATTTTTGTCCCAATAAGCACCTAAAGGAAAGTCCAGAAACATAATTGGTATAATTAAAACATCTGAATCCCAGGAGAGAACAAGCACTTGAACACAGGAGTAAGTCTTTAGATGCTGCTGGTGGTACCCTGCTGCTAGTACCTACTTCCAAGATGGAATTACAACATGAAGGTACTCGCTGTTTTCAGCCTGCCTCTCTTATCTGGCTGAGACTGTATTTTATTAACACAAAGTTGTTCTTTGGCATTACATTTGATGGCAAGATACAGCACAAGCAACCCGTGTTAATCAATAGGAACTCTGACTCCTGCTTGCTGTGATAAAAACAATGAAGGCGTCCTCCCTGCTCATCTCTTCTCCCTCCTTCCCCAAAGGACATGCGCATCCCGAGAAAAAATTCTGAAGGTTCATTGTTTTGTGTCAGAATGAGAAAGCACTGCCTTCACAAAAGCCAGCAACAGGCCTCAACTTTAAAGGGACAAATAAAGCTGCGCTCAGACCACTCCATGGTTATTTCAGATTCTCCTTTCCTCTTCCCACACAAAAGCCTGCACTGACTTTCATTTTCAAGTCTTCGCTTCTGTGAAGCGGTCGAACTACCTAGATAGCACGGCGTTCACAGACAGAAACCGAGGCTGGACTCCTCTGCTGGACCATACGATACAGGTATTCGAGTCCCACAATGTTCAGTAACAGCAAACGATTGCAGCGTAGATTGAAGCTCAGTCAACCATCGGAGCAGTCAACACTCCAACTCACCTGAAAACAGGACTGACCTTGTCACCGGAGGGCCACAGGGAGCAGCAGTCCCAGCGGGAGTTCATGCCCTAGATGTGCCATGAGTCCGACCCGTCCATCCTGAGGCGCCTGGTAAGGAGCACAGCCGGGCACCACACCGAGCAAACTGCTGCCCTCCATCATCAGCTCGTTTTCACTCACGGACATCACTCGGATTACAGAACAATCACGGTGCCAGCCTAACCTCTACCAGGCTGTACACCACACACTAACTTACTTCAAGTATATACAGGTATATATATATATATATATATGGTACCATATACATGACACACGCCATACGGTTGGACTTGATGACCTTAAAGGTCTTTTCCAACCTAAACAATTCTATGATTCTATGATTCCATGTATGGCACTAGCACATGGAACCACATACATGCATACCAGCAGATACAGGGCAGAGCCAGGCGCTGCAACCTGTCAGGAGCGACAAGTAAATGGCACAGAGCTCAACAACGGTGGGTAACTGGCTCCTCCTTTTTTTGTTTGTTTGTTTTATAAAACCATATGCTTTTTTCAGCTGGCGTGTCTGGACTATATCTGCTAAGCATTAGAGTGGAAAAGCATTAGGGCTGTCCAGCCAAATGCACAGCTGCCCCTATTATAAGGTGAAGAAACAAAGATTTGGAACAATGAACAAAAATAATGTTTCAAAGTTTTAATCACAGAGAAGACCTCAAAGTGGGAAACATCCTAAGAGAACACAAAGTTTAGGCTTTAGCTGCACAAAATTAATTTTTGAATCCCTAGTTTCGATTTTACACTATAGGTAAAAAGCCAGCAGCAGTTCCCCAAATTAAACAAGAATTATTAAGAATTTACCTAGAAAATACTCTTACCAATGGAGCGCCTTTCATGGCTTTACAGTCCTGCAATCCCGGCAGCTGCTGTTCTACCGCTGTTCTTTGCACGCAGACACTGAGAAGAGAGGTACTCGTGCGAGCTGGTTTCCCCCCCCAAAGAAAAGAGAAGCGAGAAGGGACAATATAAAGCTGCCGAGATTGCTCTCCGAAAGGAGCTTTAGCGGCGGACAGAGAAACAAGGTGAGGAGGCGTATTCAAGGAAGGCAATGCAGCCTAACATGTAAGCAGAAATCAGATGGTGTTGAGCTGGAGCATTAATAAGAAATTAATAGTTAAATAGGAAATTCCCTTAAAAACTCTGCAGAGTTTAGGCTGAGCCAGACACGAGCCTGGGAACAATAAAGACTGGAAGGAACCTCAGGGCAAACCATCACCAGCTCTGCCAGGAACAGAGTTTCATCTTTGTCCCACAGCTGAAGTCTCTGTTACACTGGAGAACTCTGGTACAGTGAAGCAAGTTCCTTGCGACAGCACCGTGTGCATTTGTGTTTCTCCTTACCACTGACCGCACATTTCGCATTTCTCCCCACATGTACAAGACTGGTTTTGGCAAGCATAATTTCCAGATCATCTGTGCCTTCAGTAAACATTCACTGTAATTTAATCATTAACCTTTCTGCTAGCACAACTGAAGGAACAGACATCTTCTGCACTTGGACCTGAAGATCAGTTCTGAGAGCTTTTAACCTCTTTTAGAGCTGCTCATAGTCTGCTTAAAGCGTTGAGGAAACCCATGAGCTAGGGAATGGTTTATAAACCTTATTCTGAAACACTACAGCATTTATGTCACTTCACAACTGAACCTTATAGGCATACAAAGACAGTAAATTCATATACTTTTAAGATCAGAGTAAGAATGTTATATTAGCAGTATCTTTTCCCAATATTTAGCAAGTTTTTACAACAAATATTTAAACCCCATGAAACATTTGGCAAAATTACTTAATACCAAGAAAACATTATCCCCAGCATAAGATACCAGTTCCGCGTAAGGAAAATAGACACTACAATGAATGAAAAAAGCAAAAGAGAAGACATATTCGCAAAAGCTCTGGAAGTTCAAGTCAAGCACATAACTCCTCCTTCAAAATCATGTAAAGCAATGAGGCCACTCCATATTTAAAGCCATTGTGTTTTTATCTATTGGGGTAGTCACTTTACATCATACCAAAAAGACTGTATAACGAATACAAGTGTCAAGAATCAGATTTTTATGGCACAAAAGGAAGTTTTCCATTAACCTGCTTTCAGAGTTGTTAAATACATAATTGAAGACAAAGAAACTAAGGCTACCACAAAATAATATTTGCGTGATGACGTTAATCTTTATTCAGCTTCTTAACTGACTCCTCCAGTCTGAAGGTGGAGAAGAATCTTTCCATTAGTTTGTGTCAGCGGTTTATTCTGGATGAAAAGATTCTTTTCCTACGTTTGACACAAATTCATTTTCTCATTTATATTGTTATTCAAAGTTCAGGTAAGCTTTAATGTTGTACCTTACAATGTATGGAATTTAAGATTAAAATAAAACTCTACTCTTAACATAACCTTTTCTATAATGTAAAAATATTCTACATGTTTAACATATCAAGAATGTTAAGCATTCACTTTGGGGAAGAACTATTTTACGTATTTTTGCAGTACAAACCCAACTGTTAGGTTTTGTATTCATGTATCCCTGTTAAGTTGGGTGCCACCCAGCGTTCATCTTCTGAAACTACAGCTCGACTACTGTACTTACAACACGGAAGAGCTATGCATACAAGACAGTTTTTAACAACTGCGAATTTGAGATGCTGCTTACGTTTTCTCTTTACTTCTCCCCTACCCCTCCACTGTGGCAAATTTACATCTTGGAAATCATGAGTGTTTTTAATTATCAAAATCAGTATAAAAATAGCAGCATGCTACTAGACAGGGAAAGCAGATTCATCGTGCATTATGAATGTAAATGCAGATTTCTGCCTTCCTTTTATATTATCAAAATCTTTTTAAAGTTAACATCAAGGCAAGGGGTATAAGGACAGACACTGCATAGTATAATTTGATACTAATCTGAACTGGGCATTTGTGTTTAATCAAAATCCATGATAATTACAGGGTAAACAATTTTTATTTCAAAATACAAGTTTAACTGGAATTGTAGTGATGAAAGCAGAAGAGGGGAAAATGCAGTCTTTTACAGCCCATGTCACTGTATCTCACTTACATCCAGAGGTAAAAGCTCTAATTGGTGAAGAGACAAAATATTTGTGGCGTTTCATTGAGCCTTTGTGATAATCCAGCATTATCCATTTCTAAAGAAATATAAATACTTTAAAACAAACATTGAAAATAAATCCTTTTGATGTAACAAACTACACTCTTTACCGAGAATTTTCAGTCTTCTTAAAAGAAAGGGACTTCACCCAAAAAATAATCGAAATATCAATGTAGAACAATCCTTGGAGGAAAAAAGTCGGAATGTAAACCTCTGTTCCAAATTAGATCTGAAAAGCAAAAACACCACACCATGTATTTAGTTCACATGCATTTTCCATCAAGAAACTCTGTCTTTAAGCTATTTTTATGGTTCAACAGGAGACTTCCTGAAGTCAGTACAGTGCTGTTTTGACCTCCGCTCATATCCTGTTTTCTTAATGTGTGAACAATTACTCTCCTCTTGCATCCCCCCGCCCCGTTACAATACTACAGTTATGCAGGTGAGCAATTCTGCCAATATAATTACGCAGAAATAGTACAGACATAAATTAGCCCACGATTTCAAAACCGAAAACAAAAACTGAGTGTAAGGGTAACTTCCCTAAGTAGTGACTATCCAAATTAGTTTCGTGGCAAAATGAACGGTTTTCTAACCAGTCTTCTTGACATAAACAACAAAGGAAAGGTTCCACCAAGTCATTCACGTTAGCCATGACCCTGGAAACTGCACGTCATTCTAGGTAGGCTAGGATGATCCTCAGGGAGGTTATTCACATTTTCTCTCTTTACGTCTTTTCCTTTCTTAAAGCATGATGTTAATATTACATCACATAGGTGGCAGAAACTCAAAAACAATCACAGCTGCTCACTTAAATACATTATCCCACACAAAGATCCATTAATTTGCAAATTTTATTCTTTCAGTATTCCTACAGCTACTCATCACTTTGACATCTTACAATAGCTTCATTATTAAAAGCATGCGGTACTAGAAAGTGTTTCTAGCTTCAGTAAGCTAAATCTTCAGTAAGCCCAACCACTGACAGCTCCAAAGTGCAATTTTCGAAAGTCTGAAGAAAAATTCATCAAGATTTTGATATTTTTTAAATATGTGATCTAATGCGTCATATATTGAGAACCTCAGAAACCTCAAAATTATGTGTTTGAAGATAATCAGCCATATGACCAACTCTGAGAGAGAGAGGACTAAAAAGATGAAGAATTAAAGCATAATAATATACTTAGAACAGTCTATCCAATTAAGTTAACTCACTGGCTCAGTAAGTTACTACTTATCCTCTCAGCCAGCTGACCCTGCACACATTCATCTCTCAACTACAAAACAAGGTGCATCATCTTTGAAAACATTTCACAGCAGAAGTAGAATCTTCTGCAATTTACTATATAATTTGAACAGTAACAATTTTAACCACTACCATTTAAGAGTGCACGTGGTCAGTTATTACAGCTTAGTGATAGGCAGTAACACAACTGATTGTGACAACCTGCAAATTCAGGATTACAGTCAACTTTAGTAACTACTAAGATGCAGATTTTTGGTTTTTATGTAAATAAAAATGGAGACTTAAAGTCTTTGGTTTTTTAAAAACACAAATCTCTCAGTTACTTCTGTAGTTATTACTAGCGAGGTTGTTAAAACTACAGATGAATCAGATGGATGAAGCTCACACATGCTCATGCAATTCCCCAAAACACCCGTATAACCCGTGACCTGTTCCAGCAGTTGGTGTCCAATGCAGTTTGCATCAGCGGTTTATGGCTCACCCTACCTTGACTGAAGTGGCCACAGCTGCCCTACGTGGCACAGGAGCTGACCCACCAATCTTTGTGCCTGCTCCTTGAGAGGTCTTTCTACCCTACCGTGCAGGGAACACAAGGAAATCCTACTAGTCTGCTCAACAGTCCCGTGTCATCTACTTTGCTTTCCATCACGAGCTCGAAAGGAGCTTACACTTCAGAGAGCAGTACTGAGGGCTACATTTGGTTCCTTCAAAACGAACATACCCAGCTACATCCACATATGTGGATGCTGACTCGCGTAACTGCAAATCCTTGCGCACACACACACACATATATACGTACACATACACAATCATTTCAATGGACACTACTATGTAAATCTAGGTCTTCGGGGTCAAATGGTTTTGATTTTCTTTTAGGCATCTTAAGGGTAATGAGAAGACTGCTCTCCATGTATGTTTTAGTAGTATGACACCAAGCATACTATTTGCATAGAGGCCAGCTGGAGGACAACTGTAGGACAGAGCAGTGACCAGAAAGCTGGCATGCATGCATCCACACTGCTTTCTGGAGCAGTCCCTGAGAAGGTGAGCTATTCTGAACATCCATGAAGTATTTTACTTGTTCTAAAACAAGGAAAACCAGCTTATTACCAAAGATGACAGTTTCAAGCATATGATACAAAATATACGTTTACTACTTACATCATCAATATCTTCATCATCATCTCCAATATCATCAAACTGGATTTCATCATCATCTCCAGGACCAAACGTGTCTGTTTCGTTGATTTTAGCTAAAAAGGAATTTAGAGAAGTTAAGGAGCACACTCGTACCAAGTCAACATAGATTGAATATTCTTGTCCCATATGAACTTCCAATTTGAACTGCAAAGATTCTTACCATGTTCTGGAAGCTCCCCATATGCTTTCAGACTTCTGGCTTCATCTGCATTGTACTTTAGAATAACATCAGCCTTGTTATCCTAAGGAAGAATTTATTAGAGTTTATTAGTCATCTATGAAGAAAAAAACCTCCCTATTAACCTCAGCAGACTAGTAACACCTATATTATTTACAGAACATCTTGTTCCTCCTCCCCCTCTGATTCCTTTAAATGTGCAGTAAAAAATGCTTATTTGCAAAATATCTTCATTTTTCTGAGTGATAACTTCATTTTCTCCTCTTACAAGTAATTCAAGAAGCTCAGTTTCCTGCCTTTGAAATTAATCTTTCTTCAGAGAACACACATAGTGAGGTGGTCAGTCAGAAAGCATCAAAATTTCTGAGTTTTAAGTAGTTTAATGTATACAGTAAATGATGGTATTTTAAATGTTTTACAACTCTAATGTAAATTTCAGAAGCAGAATCTATTTTCAAACGACTGATGACACAACACTAACATTCATGAAAAAAGCACTTACCAAGTGAAAATTTGACACCTGTTTTCCATTAACCTTACATGGGGTAAAATTATGCTACTCCATTTTTGAAATTTAAGTAGAAAGTAATCACTGATCAATTGGCCTCTTAAGGTAAAAGCCTAAACATCAAGGCTCCAAAATTCTGATTACCAAAATTTCTGCTTAACACAATAAAATGTTTGGTGCTTGGCTCAATCTACCTTGTATCACAGGATCCAAGCATCAAACAGCTACACCTGGGGAAAAAAAGGTCAGGTGTGATGCAAGTAAGCACCTTCACTCACAAAGTTTCAGGGTGCAATTTAGAAGAACAAGCTGAACCAGGATTTGTCATCTACTCAAAACAATCTTTCTGTAATACAAGGAAACTAAAAGTCATGATTTAGCACAACCAAATACAAATTCAAAGAATGTTAGAGGGTAATTCCCTCATGATACCTGCTTCTATTTAACATTAAATAAAGCTGTTTGTAAGATATTCTTCACTGGCAAATTACATTTAATTTTTACCTGATAGTCTCTTAAGCCAACCAATATAATATCAGATGTATTTATCCAAACCTGAAAGAGAAAACATATGTTATATTGCAGGAATTCAACTTCTGTTGCATAACACAAGAGTTGAACAGCACTTTTAGGTTTACTGAGAGACACGAAACATTTCACTACAGCCACCATTTTCACTGTCTAACCAGTAAACTGCAAATATCCAATTTCATATTTTAGCAGCAAAACCAAGGTCATAAATACTCATATTATTTCACGTGTTATGAAGCTGTTACTAAGGAAAATCAAACTTCTTTGAAGAGCTTATTTGAAGAGCCAACAACAGTGGTTAAGTCATTACTTCTGAGAAAACAGAAATAATGCATCAAGCCACCACTCTGTGAACTGAGCTCCAGGAGGGCAAAAATGAAAGAAAAATCAGATGAAGGGGGCGATGGACAAGCACAGTGAAGAGCACAAGGAAATGAATGGAGTTGTTTCTAGTAACTGACTATGCTAATCAGTCAAACCAAAGCCAGAAGCCTGCAAAACAGGACATGCTAATTTAAATGCACAAGATAGTTCTATCCCACATCAGCTTGACTTTTTTGGAGATGAAATACATTTCAGTTGAGACTTCCTTTCTTTTAGACATGAGAAATAGGTAAGTGATGCTTTCTGTAGTGAGAAATTAATTCTGCAGCATCTAGCTTTTGTCTCTGTACATTCTCCATTACCTTTAACAGTTTACTGCAGTGTATTGCAGGCAGCTATAGCAGGGCTCATACTGGTACCAAGATACGTGCATTCCACTGGTCTCCAAAAACAGACAAGTGGAACCATCCAAAATTAACACAGTGAACCTCTGGTTTTGTTGAGAACAGACTATCTGAGAGGACCTTCTCTGTACCATGCATCAGCAGAGGTTAGAAAGCTGTTAACATCTGACAAGGGCAAGAGGGGATATCCATTCCACCATCCAAAGATGGCAAAGTTAAGAATGCAAACACGTTCACCTCGCTTCCCTGAAGGCACAAACTTTTGCGGATCAGCTTTGCACAAAAGTATTTTGGGAACTGATTAAGTGCACAATGAAACGATGGCATCTGAGGTGCCTGCAGGAAGCTATAAAGAAACCTTCTGAAACCACCCTTATTGAACCTTATTCTCAGACAAGTCACCGACTGAGAAGATGGTAATTAGTCTGACCAGGGGAGGAACTCAGTAAGTGGGGTATCAAACCCTGATTCTTCCTGGTTTTGGGAAATAGCATACAAAAAAGTGTCTTTCAACAACCCTCTTACACCTTTATTTTCTTGTGTTGGGTGTCAATCTTCGTGTCAACAGAAGTTCTCCTGCTAAGCTAAGTACTGATCTTTTAATATTTCATATACATGTAAGTTTCTAGAATATGAAAAATTAGTATTTCATAAGCAGCCAAAAGAAATCTCCCCTGAAATACACACATCCAAAGGCAGCCTTTCAACTACAAGCTTCACTCAAAAGTCAGACTGTCTCTTTTTGTGCCGGCAATAAAGAACAGAAGAACAAACTAGTTTACTATCAAAAAAGAAGTTTAAGATATTAACTACAGCAGAAACACTAACTTTTGTAACAACCTACATATGTAAATTTTTTACAATTACATATCATGCATAATACCACTGTTCTCTATCGCAATGCTTCAGAATTACCTTTTTTCTTAGTTTCCCTCTAATATGACATAACCTCTTCACACCATCAAAACATAATGCCTCCAGTCTTCCATTGCCTAACATCTTGATCACCTGGGCATATTCTGAAAGAGATGGTAACATACAGCAACACTTCTAAACAGACAGAGCTTCATGAAACAACCAGTAACTTTTACCACCATAACCAAAATTCGCTGCAACATTTTATCAAGCATGAACAGCTGAGAGAAGCTTTGATCAGCCACATGGGCTGCTGAACGTATCACAGGTTTTGCATCATTGTTGATATTAACATTTTCAAACACTGCTCATTCTTGGTTGTATCCATGCTTTTGTTCCCTCTTGAAATGCTTACTGCAGGTAATTTTTAGGGCTATCAAGTCACACTCAGAGTTTTAAAGTTTATGACAGCATCACAGCACCTGTCCTAACAGACAAAATCTCGTGCTATCATTGAGGGAAGAGGAGAAGGCAGCACATCCTGTATACCCAGCCCACTGATACTCCGAATCCCTTCTGCAGAGCCTCTGTGGGAAAAAAATGCTGTTCTTGAAAGGACACGTTCTGTTGTTCTCAGGAACTGTCTGAAAGGCAAGTACCAGGCTTCAGCTGAAAACTATGAAGCTTCTCTCCAATATCCACCCTCAATCTTTCACCTTGCATTTAAAAATCTCCTTCCCTCACCGAGTTCCAGGCATCACTACTGAAGTACTTCACACTATTAAAGTTTGCAGCATAATGTATTACCATTTAACTAAAAGGAATAAAGCTTGTAAGAATTACAACATTATTATTATAAAGCTTGTAAGAATTACAGTATTATCTGACTGCCCATACTTGCCAGGATAAAAAAAATTCTCAATTAGCCGGAGCTGTATTTCAATATTCTAAAAATCTTTCCTTAGCACAAACTAAATAGTCCAACAAACCACATGAGAATATTAATAACTGAAAATAATTTCATTGCTGCTAATGGCTTAGATGGGCATATTCTTTGCTGGGTAAAAACCTGGTTGGATGGCCAGGCCCAAAGGGTGGTGGTGAACGGAGTTAAATCCAGTTGGTAGATGGTCACAAGTGGTGTTCCCCAGGGCCCAGTACTGGGGCCAGTTCTGTTTAATATCTTTATCAATGATCTGGATGAGGGGATTGAGTGCACCCTCAGTAAGATCGCAGATGATGCTAAGCTGGATGCAAGTGCTGATCTGCTCAAGGGGAGGAGGGACCTGGACAGGCTGGATCGATGGGCTGAGGCCAACTGTATGAGGTTCAACAAGGCCAAGTGCCGGGTCCTGCACTTGGGTCACAACAACCCCATGCAACGCTACAGGCTTGGGGAAGAGAGGCTGGAAAAGGACCTGGAGGTGTTGATTGACAGCCGACTGCATATGAGCCAGCAGTGTGCCCAGGTGGCCAAGAAGGCCAACAGCATCCTGGCTTGTATCAGGAACAGTATGGCCAGCAGGACTAGAGAACTGATTGTCCCCCCTGTACTAGGCACTGGTGAGGCACCACCTTGAATACTGTGTTCAGGTTTGGGCCCCTCACTACAGGGAAGATGCTGCGTTGCTGGAGCGTGTCCAGAGAAGGGCAACCAAGCTGGTGAGGGGTCTGGAGCACAAGTCTTAGGAGGAGCAGCTGAGGGAACTGGGGTTGTTTAGCCTGGAGAAGAGGAGGCTGAGGGGAGACCTTATTGCCCTCTACAATTGCCTGACAGGAGGGTGTAGTGAGGTGGAGGTTGGTCTCTTCTCCCAGGTAACGGGTGATAGAGCAAGAGGCAACGGCCTCAGGTTGCATCAGGGAAGGTTTCGACTGGGTATTAGGAGAAATTTCTTCACGGAAAGGGTTGTCAAGCATTGGAACAGGCTGCCCAGGGAAGTGGTTGAGTCCCCATCCCTGGAGGTATTTAAAAGAATGGTAGACTGGGTGCTTAGGGCCATGGTTTAGTGGTGGACATGGCAGCGTTAGGCTAATAGTTGGACTCGCATTAGGTTAACAGTTGGACTCGATCTTAAAGGTCTTTTCCAACCTAAACAATTCCATGATTCTACGATTAAGTAGATTTTACTTGGGACCTGAAAGGATTTAAAGTTTTATAGGTGCATCAAAATCAACAGCTTTTTTGCTTAAACCTGTCACAGAATAGCAGAAAGAGCTTAAAAAATAATTTCAGTGGTCACTTATTTTACAGTGATTTAAGTCAGTACTACTTCTGTATTTCTAACAAAGCAACTGATTAACTGGTCACTAAGCAAGTACTTGCATATATGTGAGCAACCACAAGAGCATGACACACAAGACAGGGTGAGCCAAAAGGGAGGGGAGCTCACTGTCACCAAAAGACAGGGGAGAGGGGAATCCTAGTCATCACCCCCCAGCTGAAGACGCCTGTGGCTTACTGTACCTGACAACAACCAAGTAAGGACCTTGCCTATTGCTCCTGTTTTAGTAATTGTTAGACATTCCAGCCCCGGAGCCAATTCAACCAAACCATGAGGGGACAGTGGAAGAACAGTGAGATGTCCTGTTCTGCCAGGTCAGTAACTTTGGGGAGCTCATTAAAGGATCCAAGAAATGTTACAGTCGATATAAAACCGAAAGGGGGACTGTGCATCCAAGAGACAACAAAACAGCTACTGGGAACACTGAACTACCCCAGCTAAGCCAGCTGCTTACAGACCCTCCCACAGAGCAACGTGAGGGATTTCTGGGGAATGTGTACATATACACTGTATTACACATGGCATCACAATAAGGTCAAGGAGAGGCAAGCTTCATTCTGAAGTGGTGAAGCTATTTAAAATTTCCCTTTTACTAATGTCTTCCTCCTACACTCAATGTGTCATTTAGAACTCAAATACAACCCCAATAAGAATACCTCCCTTTATTCCACAATAACTTTGTATTTCTCAGACATCCAGATGTTTTTTTCTGTATCAACATCCAATGTACGTCACAATATCTGACTGAAAACAATGGCATTGCCATGCTATAGTTAAACTCACCTTGCCCGTCTTCCTTGAACACCAGTTCTCTTTTTTCTGATTCGTTCTCATTCTTACCTCGTCGCCTATTTTTACCTCCTTTGCCTAAATTAAAAGGGGGGGTGAAAGAGCATACGTTAGTATCTGTGAATACACTGAACGAAACAGACTTACGGGGATTCCTGTGCTTCTTCTTGAGTACCTGTCATGGTTTAACCCAGCAGGCAGCTAAACCCCACACAGCCGTTTGCTCCCCCCCGCCCAGTGGGATGGGGAGAGAATTAGAAAAAAGGTAAAACTCATGGCTTGAGATAAAGACAATTTAATAGCAGAGAAAAGGAAGGGAAACTAGTAAGAATGATAAAAGAAAATACAAAACAAGGGATGCACAATGCCATTGCTCACCACCCACTCACCGATGCCCAGCCAGTTCCCAAGCACCATCTGCACCCCCCTGGCCAACTCCCCCCAGTTTTTTGTTCAGCATGATGTCATACTGTACGGAATATCCCTTTGGCCAGTTTGGCTCAGCTGTCCTGGCTGTGCCCCCTCGCAGCTTCCTGTGTACCTCCAGCCTCCTCACTGGCAGGGCAGTACAAGAAGCTGAGAAGTCCTTGATGTTCTGTAAGCACTACTTAGCAACAACTAAAATACTGGTGTGTTATCAAAATTGTTCTCATCCTAAATCCAAAACACAGCCCTATGCCAGCTACTAGGAAGAAAATTCATTCTATCCCAGCTGAAACCAGGACAGCATCCTATGCAGATCTAGATTGTTTGCTTACTTTTATCATTTTTAAGTCTAAATTTTTAACTGAGTTGTAACACAGTAATTAAAAGATTAGAGCCTCTGCTATTTAAAACGTGCTGGTTGGTTGCTCTGGAGCGACAGTAACCTTCAACAAGGATTTGCACAAGATGGCCATTTTCAGTTTTCGTGACTGCTGCTACTAAATGTCTCGCAAACGACGGTGGGACAACCCGATGCACGTATCCGCCAAAGAGCAGAGGAATAACTGGAGGGGTAGTGCTGAAATCCCTGAAATACTCAGAGGAAAGCTTACGCTCCAGCTGCAGATGCCCTTTTTAAAAGGCACACACGTGGCAACAGGGTTAGATGCTCCTCATGAAGAGGCAGAGGAGCGGCTCCTACTTCCCTCCCCTCTCAAAAAGCTGCTCTTCCCCTCCTCTCTTTTTCCTCCTTTCCCCTTCAGCAGCGGG